ATCATTGGACATACATGGTTACTGGAAAATTAATAATGTCCATCTTGACCACAATCACAAGACCAGCCCCACTAAGTCGAGGTTGTATCGATGTCATCGCGTGTTAAGTTCACATGTCAAACGAAAGCTTGAAGTGAATGACATAGCAGGAATACCATTGCATAAAAGTTTTAACTCTGTAGTTGTTGAAGCTGGCGGGTACGAGAATATAACTTTTGTGGAGAAGGATTGTCGTAACTATGTCGAGCAGGCCAGACGCCTAAGACTTGGCGAAGGGGATGCGACTGCAATACAATCCTACTTTTCTGATATGCAAGCTCAATGCTCAGGTTTCTACTTTAGTATTGACTTGGATGAGGATTCTCGATTGAAGAATGTTTTTTGGGCGGACAACAGGTCTAGGAAAGCATATGAAGAGTTTGGAGATGTCGTCACATTCGACACAACATATCTTACTAACAAATATGACATGCCTTTTGCCCCTTTTGTTGGCGTTAATCATCACGGTCAGTCAATATTGTTAGGTTGTGGTTTGGTGTCGAATGAAGACACCGATACATTTGTGTGGTTATTCAGAACATGGCTAAAGTGCATGCATGGTCAAGCTCCTAATGGAATAATTACTGATCAAGATAAAGCCATGCAAAATGCAATTGAAATAGTTTTTCCGAATACGAAGCACAGATGGTGTTTGTGGCATATTCTGAAGAAGTTACCCGAAAAATTCGGATATCACATTGAGAAAGCCGCAATATTTTCAGCCATTCATGTGTTGGTTTATGATTCACAATCATCGGAAGAATTTGAGGAAGGCTGGAGAATAATGATTGAAAAATATGACTTAAATGACAATGATTGGTTATCAGGATTGTTCGATAATCGCATTCGATGGGTGCCCTGTTACTTGAAATCCACATTTTGGGCAGGAATGTCCACAACTCAGAGAAGTGAAAGTATGAATGCCTTCTTTGATGGTTATGTACATTCAAAGACATCGTTGAAGCAATTCGTTGAACAATACGAACGAGCATTGCGAAATAAGGTGGAGAAAGAAATTCAAGCAGATTACAAATCATTCTCTCAAGTCATACCATGTGTGACGACATATGAAATGGAAAAGCATTTTCAATCATTATATACAATTCCGAAGTTCAGAGAAGTTCAAACTGAATTTATGGGAAAAGTTTATTGTGATCTAATATCTGCAGTAGACGGGCATATGGGGACGAGGTATGAGGTATGTGAAGACGTAATGTGTGGAGATCGAAGGAAGAAAAAAATATTTGTTGCTTGGTTTAACAAGGAGATATATGAAGTATCGTGTAGTTGCCATTTATTCGAGTTTCGAGGAATATTATGCAGACATGCAATCACAGTTATGATACGAAATGACGTTGTTGTGGTGCCAGATAGGTATATATTGCGACGATGGAGAAAAGATATTAACCGAGCACACACGAGGGTAGCCGTGAGCTATGATGGTTTGGGTGTTACTCCAGCCCAAAAAAGGTATGATGACATGTGTCGGTCATTCGCAGAAGTGGCCAACCTTGCAGCAGACGATGAAGAGAAATGTGTTATCATCCAATCTTGGATAGAAAATCATAAGCGAGAACTTATTTTGACAAAGGATAGTTATGGTGACACTAACACTTCACTATGTACTTCACGTCAAACAAAAGAAAATGAGAATATAAAGGATCCAAAAGCATCAAAGAGAAAAGGTGCGCCAAGGATAAAACGGAAAAAAGGTCCTCTGGAGGTCAGCTCAAAGAAATCAAAGGTACATTTTAATTTAATTATAATTACATAAAATATTTTGATAAAATAACTCATTTTTTGGTTTTTATTCAGGTACGCTTAAGGAAAGTAACCAAAAATGATCCAACACCGAGACCTGATAGCATCACAACCGTTGCGCTTGAACTTTTTCCAACTGAATCAAGTTCATTTCCATGAGTTCTATAGGTTGGTTACATTGTTTGTTGGAGCATAGGTAATGGATATGATGTTGGTAGCATTTAGTATTGGAACTTTTGTTTTTATTTTGTTCCCAAGTTGTGGTTTTGGTAGCATTTATCAAACTGAAATTTTTGTTCTTCTTGTGTTATGTGTAACTTTTGAAACCGATTAGTAATGTTGGGATGCATATATTTCGCTAATGTGGTTTTAGTGGACGTACAATGTTGCTAAGAGATGTCTCAGGTTTTCGGACTCTTCTGGTTAAATTTTGGTGATTGAAAGTCAAATCTCAATTTCATCTTGTTGGTGGAGCCTGGAGAGATCCTTGCCTTTCTAAGGTCACAGGTGGACTACATCATGCATACATATTTGGCTGGTATCATCGTGAGTTCCCGTACTAGCTTCTGCTCTTGGAGGGAATCGAGCATGACTACCTACTTATAAGGTCTGATGTGAACGATAACTCGAGCCACCACACGATCGACTTGCTCAGGTGGTGGGATGATATTCCACCCATATTGTATCTCGAGCGGAGGAATTAGATGTACTGGTTTGATATGTTGGTTACATGGTCTGTACACTTGCTTTTAGATTAGTGTTTGATTGCACAAAGATATACATTTTAAATATAACTTACAAAATAATCCTGCTATAATTATAATTGCATTTGTAGAATATTGTTTTGAAATAAGGAAAATTGGGGTTAAACATTTTATTGTTTTGACAAAAAATTTAGTTACAAGACATTAGTGATGATAGAAAAACATAAAAGTACAACTCTCTGCATAGAAATGTTTAGTTACAAGGCATTAGTGATGATAGAAAAACACAATGACAAATCAATAGCAACAAGTAGCATCCCAACAAATATGTCAGTAGTCTTATAGACCCATGACTTTCTACACGAGAATCATTTTGAGCTTGCCAGTGAGGTCCTATGTGCAAATTCTTGGCCAAACCTCGCTTCTCGGAGTGCTTAATGTGGCAAGTCTGTTCATTCTTAATGATGAACTCGATGCCACTCGATTGCATCTTCCTTTGCATTAAAGCTATCACCCAACAACAATACTCAATTTCTCAAAACTTAAGCATACATCCAGCACATCCATCACAATTCATACAACCAGAATTAAGATAAGCAACATCAGCAAACTGAAAAAAATAAAAATAAAAATAAACCCTGGCAGGCTATTATGAATGTAGGCCCCTTACATCAAAACTTCATCTCCTAAACAGGTGTGTCACACAATATCCGTAACCAAAACACATTAGTTCTTCGTCTGTGCCTATGCGCAAAGAAGAACTCGAGCATTTTAATGTGCAGAGGCTTAGTATTATACTTCTTGATAGCCTGTGTTTAGCTAGACTTTTGGAAATGTAATTCAACTAGGTCTCGTCAAGACTCAAAGCGGTCAAGCACTTGCTCTTTTATCTTCAATTGCGTGGGCTATCTCCCAATTTGATGTCGTCATCTCCTTTAGAACTAACCCCCTCGTTGTCTTCCTCGCATCTGATTGCTTTAACGATTCCCCGGCGAAAGAATCCCAGACCCGAACTCGGGGTTAACCTCCCAGAAAGAGGTGTGCCATTTATCTATAATAAACCATATTCCTCAAGCAACACGAACAACAACTCTTTATTCAATTGAAGAAAACTAACATCCGAATCACTCAATTAAGAACACCAGAAACAATCGCGTGCCTTCAATTGAGTGTGGGCTGCGATCGAGATACGAGAAAAGAATGAACTAAAGAGAACTCAAAAAACAACGGCGCGCCTTCGATCTTGTGTGCGGGATGAGAAATAGAGAAACGAAAAAAAAAAAAATTGAAATGAAGAGTAATTAGAAGAAAATGGTGGCCCTTCACTTTTTCTTTCAAAGAAATGGGTGCAAAGAAATCGGCCGACTTGTAGGGTAGAAGGAGAGAGGGTTGGGGAAAATGATGTTGGAATTTGAAGAGAATGAATTTTTCATTAACTTTTTTATTTGTAGGTTTGTACTTTTTATTTTTATATATTTGTTGCCACATCATTTTGTAACCCAATTATGTCAAGTGACTTGGGCACTGTAGCGGGACCGTTATTTTATTGCTAAAAAACCAGTTTGCATTAATTCATCCTTAATTGATGTGTTTTGCATTAAAATCGAACAGATGGACTTCAAGTAAAAAATATGTCTCATTTCAAATTTAAATTTAAATATTAAAATTTCTTATCATTTTATTACATTAAAATCCTGAATGAATTGTTTGCCATAAAATCGGACAAAAGAATAATTGCATAGAATTCAAGTAAAAACATGTCTCATTTAAAATTTAAATTTTAAAATTCCTTATCATTTTGTTACATTTTTGAATGATTTGATTCCCATAACATCGGACGGAATGAATAATTGCATAGAATTCAATTATGATTTCGAATTTATATCAAGGATGTTTAATAATTACATAGAATTTCAAAGATGTTTATTTATTATAAAAAAATTAAATTCTAAAAAAATATTTGTGTATATTTTGTAAAATGTTTGTATAAAATGTTTTACTTTAAATTTTTTTACATAATTTAAATTAATTACATTAATAAATAATATGAGCATATATTAATTTTAATTACATAAAACAAAAAGAAGAAGAAAACTACATTTATAACTTGTATAAATAATAATAATGACATTATATTAAAATAAATTTTATAATAAAATAATATAAGTATTATACGAGGAACAAGATTACGTAAAATTATTATTTTCTTATATCAAGGAATAAATATATATATAATGACATCAAATTTATATTATTATAAACATGTGAGTGAGATAATATATTAATTAATTTACGGGCTAGCGCTACCAGACTCAGGTTTAATGTTCCGACAAAAAAAATGACGTTGATGAAAAGATGTAAAAAAATAGATGATGAAACTCTATTATTTTTTAGGCCTGAACGGACAAGTCTTATGGTCCACTCATTTAATATCTCCCGTGAATTGCACGAGATACTTAACGGACAAGCTCTGTGAAAATGACTCATTTAATACTTCTGGTCCGTGCATTGCACAGGCTACGTACTAGTACACCCTAAGCTACAAGCAAGTGAGCAAAGATCTATATAGGCCTTTAACTAATGAAAATAAATAGATAAATAATTTACATAATTAAGATGTCAGATGTGAGGTTTAAGGCGAAGGAAATCTATCATTATATAAAAAGAATAACCTTTTTACAAATTTAGAAAGGTTTTCTCGCCATTATCATTAAATATATCCTATATATAGTAGTTGTTGGACAATTTTTGATAAGACAAAAAAATCGGCAACTTAATTGTGTATATATCAGTTTTTCTTTTTCCTGTTTTTTTGGTACTCAAAACGGTGACAGTAAATATTAGTATTTTTTTTACAAAAAGATCGGCAGCTTAATTGTGTATATATCTGTTTTTTATTGTGTATATATCTGTTTTTTCTTTTTCCTTTTTTTTGGTATTCAAAATCGTCGGTTATAATTGTTACATTTAAATCTTTTTTTTTTCTCAACACAAAATCTGCTAATATATTTTAAAACAAAATAATATTCTGCACTAATATTCTTATATAATATTTATTTGTATACATTTGTATGTGTACAAATGATAATAATTCGAAAAGATGAGTTTGCAAATTACATTCTATACCAAATACCCGTACATTTAAAATTGATCTTTTATGCATTTAAAATCGTTTTCAATTCCAATATATACAAAGTTTATAAACTAATTTTGAAATTGTGTGTAATCAAATTTGATAACAACGTAAAAGTATAATAAATAATTTTGAAATTGTGTGTAATCATATTTTGTTAGATTGGAGTAATTTCATAAATTCTATATCATATGAATGTCTTTATTAAATTAGGCTTATAATATTTCAGATACTTTAAACAAATTGTGTAGACATTTTTATTACATATTCGTCTATATATATATATATATATATATATATATATATATATATATATATATATATATATATATATATATATATATATATATATATATATATATATATATATATATATATATATATATATATATATATATATATATATATATATATATATATATATATATATATATATATATATATATATATATATATATATATATATATATATATATATATATATATATATATATATATATATATATATATATATATATATATATATATATATATATATATATATATATATATATATATATATATATATATATATATATATATATATATATATATATATATATATATATATATATATACATAATTGATGTTAAATTTAAATATTTGTAGACATGTTTTCTTTACAAAATAGTCTAAAAAAAATCTTTTTTACACAATATTAAATTCAAATACTTTTAGATATGTTTTCCTTCTCATCCGTGCATTTCCAACTCCAATCTAAGTTTATCCATAGCATAAATCTACACGAGTTTATCTCTTATCTTTTACAAAATCCCATTACATTTTTATAGAATCTCATCCCTTATCTATACAGATTTAAAAAATAAAATACGATCCATCTCGGGCGCTGCTAATTTTCATCGGTTTAATTACTAATGATTTTACAAATATTGTAAACTAACAATACATCCTCGATAACAATGTAAAAACTATAATAATAATTTTGAAATTGTGGGTAATCAAATTTTGTTAGATGGAACTATGGTATTTCTTTATTAAATTAGGCTTATAATATTTTAGATACTTTAAATAAATTGTTTAGACATTTTTTTACATATTCATCTATATATATATATATATATATATATATATATATATATATATATATATAGGGTCACGCTCCGGTGAGAATGACCCTTAATGCGAGAAAAAATAGGAATAAATTATAGCCATTAGATCATTAAAGGTAATATTGTAATTAACAACACCAAAAAATAGCAGGACCCACAGACACCACACCCCAACAGCACGACACGTCACCCACTCACCCCTCCCTCCTTAACTCTCTCTCTCTCCTCATTAACTTTCTCTTTAATTGATTCATTACTTTTGTCTCTCACACACATTCCCCGTCAAACACACTCACCCCACAGTCACACACAGTTCCGCCGGCAGCCCGTCACCTTGTGTGACAGACGGACACCACGAGGGCGCCGTCGCCAAGAATCCCGCCGGCATCGCGCCTGTCCGACGTCCGCAACTACAGTCCGCCGTATGCCGCCCCGCCGCCGGAAATGGTGAGCTCCGGTACAACGCCGTTCGTCTCGCCGTCGATTCCACCTTCTTCGACGGCCTCCGTGTAGCAATTCATATCCGCTAGATTTCCGTCGCGGAGGCCGGCACCATGTCCGCCGCTCCTGATCCACCGCCGCACCTTTCTCTCTCTGCCCGACCTCTGCCGTGCTCCTCCATGTCTCGCCACTGACCAGCTCCATCTTCCGCCTCCCGCCGGCGTCGCCGTCCATGTCCACGGTTGTTCATCCTCACCCGCTATTTCCGGCGACACGGCCGTACCTGCTCTTCCCGCCGCCATCTCTGTCCATCTCGGAAATTAAGGCTGTGAAGATGAGATGGACATTTTATTTGGGACATTTTTTTGTGAATTAGACAATTTTAAGGGACATGTTTGCAATATAGAAAATTTGAACTACACATGTATTAAATATTACAATTTAATAGGTGTAATGGGTTGGTGGGTTGAGGATTTCAAGACTTTAATGGACTCCTTATGTTAATTTAAACTATCATATTTAATGCTATTTATATATTATAGTTGTATATATATTAAGTAGTTTGAAAAAAGCAATAAAATGATATATTATATAAAAAATATAAATACCAAATATATTTTTATTATATAAATAAATTGATAATACACATTATGTTAATTGAAAATATTATTACAAATTTTTAAATTGAAATGCACATTATTCATAGGTTTCAATTAGGTTGGAAAAAAGTTCGGTCCTTTCACATTGTACAATATCGGAGAAAATTGTGCAGAGTAGTGTTTGACAAATTGCACTTTAATGATTGACGTGTTGCACTTT